ACTTTCAGAAGTTTTTCAACCATTATCATTGGATAGCCCCTTCAATTCTCCACAAAATGAGATGCTGGCCAAGTTTCTACGATCTTGTGTCGAAAAGTACCATAGAAAATACGACACAGCTCGAAAATGGCATAAGGCGAATTAATTTATATTCGTAATGTTGAAAAGCCTGTAACGCCGTCGAAGATTGTAGAAACTTGGCCAGCATCTCATTTTGTGGAGAATTGAAGGGGCTATCCAATGATAATGGTTAGAAAACTTCTGAAAGTATTTTAAGGTCACTAAGTTTTTTAGAAAACTGAGTTTTTCAGAAATCTCTGTCTCAAGACCCCGAGGCCAAGCATACCGTTTCTTCATCGAAATATATAGAACTCGACGGGCTCTTTCATTTAATACCAAGTTCAAGATTCTACGTTTGGTAATGTGGTCTGCGGATGTTCTACAAGTTCGGCGAAAGCCGCCGGAAAATGACGAAGATGCATTTTTCCGCTGCAAGGGTAAAGTGGCTATAACTGTTTTTCCAACAAGGCTAGAGACTTGCGGTTTTCACCATTCGGTTCAGCTTGCTGTGTTCTATAATATGAGATAGTTCTCGTCGCTGACATCTAAGGTCGATGTAAATACTGGTAAGTGTTATATGGACTGAGTCTATCCGTCGATGCCGAAATTTTACTACAAATTCAATATCTCGCGTTCCTCTCGGAAGTCCAAAGTTTTTCTTTTGCCATTTTATCAGTCCGCTCTTCTAGTATTTACTCTAAATGGCTGAACCTTACTGAGCTGCTTACGCAGGAGATAATGATAATGGTGAAGTCGTAGCGGTAGCGGCATCCATAACTTGATAATAAAACGACCTCTAAAGTTCGGACTTGCACTGTTTTCTAGCCTGATCCAAGTTGTATTTGTGCTGAAATTTACGTGTCTCTAAGTCAAGCCGTTAGAAAATAACACACTAAAGATTAAACGCTAACTGCTCCTAATTCGTCACCAAAAAAATGGTAACTTTTCTTAAAACTTGAATATCTCAGTAACTACTTGGGTTGACGAGCTGTGATATTTTGAAGGGTGAGTCTATTGGCACTCCCGGGAGTGTCAACTAGAAGCTATTGGCACCCCCAGGGAGTGTCAACAAGGAGCCATTGGCACTCCCAGCAACGGTTTGGGAGTGTCAGCCAAACGCTATTGGCACACCTAGGAAATGCCATTACACTGCAAAAGTACAAGATTACAGTGGCGCCCTCAGCGAATATCCCAGTAACCGCTGTATTTTTCTTGCATTTCACTTTAGAAATTTTGTATCGTTACTCAGAAAATTCATTTTTCTAAATAAGAGACGAAAAGGTCAAAATTCTGCTCGTAATTCTCCGTTTTCTCTATCAGAACTGAACTTCTATAGAATTAAAATATCATTTTTGAAATCAAGATCAAATAACGAATCGACTGATGTGTATCTGAAGATTTTGAGTTGATTCTCATTTTTTGGGAGAATCTCGATGATTTTTCAACGCAAAAAATTAAAGTGCTTGGATAGGATAGAGCTACATAGACGTTCAGTTCTGATGGAGAAAACGAAGAATTACGAGCAGAATTTTAACTTTTCCGATGCCTAGGATTTCCCAAACATTGCTGGCACACTTTGTAATTTTTGTTTTCATCTCATATCTTTCTTCGTATCTATAAACGAGAACCTTCGTTTTCTCATGCTGCGGACCGGCACTAGTTTTTGCCAATTTTTCTTCCACATACCGTTAATTAATGTAGTTTTTCCCACTCTGTGTATCGTATATAGACACCATGAGTTTGTGTCACTTTCAATCGCACATTTTGAAAAGTTTCCTAGAAGCTCTAAGACACAGAATTTCGAAAGAGAGCACTGTTGTGAACCAAATATAACCTTTAATAACTCATTTCCAATAGAGAAAAAGAGAAGAAACATATTTTATAGACCTATTCATAATGACATCATGGTTTGTTTTTCTTCTTTTCTTGTTTCGGGAAGATAGTCTTGGGCTAGTCGACTGGAACTTTTTTTGATTATTTCACGTATTATACCAAGAAAATGGTTCGATCATCATTTCTTCTGCGATTGTTGTGGTACCCGGACGAACAAGTTCACTGGTAGTAGTGGGAATTTGTGTAGCTAGTCGCGGTTTTGGTTTTATCGGCGATGCCTCTGTAAAAAGTTAGCTTGATTGAGAAGCAAATTCACACTTATTGTGGAAGCGAATTCTTGTTCACTTGTCTCTAATAATTTCTCGTTATGAAGCTGGTTTGCAATATTAACCGGCCGTTCATTGGCTGTAATTCCCATTATAAATTTGGTTTTTGTGCACAACTACAGAAATTGTCATCGGAGATCCGGCGTGCATTTCGAAGTATTGTTCAACTCGTAATTGTTGTTGATCGCTAGACGCAACTTTTCAGGATGATCATAACCAATTTCAGAGAAAACATGGCTAATAACGTTGTCGATTGTCATTTCCGTAGTGACTTTGAAGACAGCGAAATATTGAACGACTTTGTAAGCGAGATATTTCGTGAACTAGCCACTATGCGACGGTCTTGGTCGGCTCTGCAGGAGGAACCCAGATACACTTCAATTTTAAGCTCCGTAACTTACTCGAAAATTTACGCCAAATCTGTATTGCGATGCATTTATAACGATCTAAAATCTAGAATAAAATATTTTAACTGTAGAGAGTGAGGACAGCTTATTGTATAAGATAAACACTAAATTTTACTCACCGATTTCTCGCTGCGAACTAAATGTAGAACCATGACATTTTGCTAAAGTGCACGATTAATTAGTAAGCGAATTAAACAAAGCTGTGTGATGTTGTTCCTTTTTTAAAACACAGGTAAAGATCTAAAGAAAAGATAGGGATAGTGATTAACAAACGATCTATTGTATGATATGACCATTAGTGGAGGAATATGGAAAGATCAATGCCGTCTTTGAAAAATCTTAATTGTTGTTTCGAGGCCGAATCAGTCAGAATGATTGATGCTAATTGTCGTTTTAACCGCTAACTTTGTCAATGTTAATTTGTCCGTACATGAGTGTTCTATTTGATAAAAGGCGTCCTGTTTTCTAGAAATCCTTCATTTTGGACGTTTCTTGAAAATTCAGTTCTGGTATCGGAAGCTGATAGAACATATCGAGTTACATGTGTCCACAACTTTTCTCCACTATCCGATTGATTTTGAGCCAGCTAGTAACCTTTTAAATAATTTATGGTTTTCTACGAGCTGATCTTGAAATTTGTAGTTCGGTCACAATCGGGCCGATAACCCTCAAAATTTCTTAATATACACCGTTTTGCGCGCTCTAGATTGTGAGGGTGTCTACACCAGTATATTCAAATCCGGGTTCAAGGGTTTCTAGACAACCTTAGTTTCCGGAAACATCGCATGTACAGAAACGCCTATCTTCCGAATCAGCACCGTTCTCGATTACGTATATTCAGATCTGTTTCGGATAAAACGCGGCGAAACACTTCGGGATGTTTCCTCGTAAATGTGTTCTTTGCTTAGCTATTGAGAACATCATTTTTCTTTTACAAACGTAAATTATGATGCATCTGCAACTTTAAGTCTAGATAGCAGTGCACGAAACCATCGGACCTTACTTCAAGGGGTAGAAAACTGATTTGAGGATTTTGAAGATTTCAAAAGATTTGGAGAGATTTTAGAGATTCAAATCAGCTTTGATTTAAAGATTTCAGTCGATTCGGATTGATTTGGATTGATTTGAATTGATCTGGATTGATTTAGATTGATTTGAATCAACTTGATATGAAAGATTTGAATTGATTCAAATCAGTTGTCTGCCCCCATGTGCTCCCTAGTGCCCTATCTATTCCAACTTAGAAAACAATCCCAGTTCAGAATCCCTACAAATCAAGCCGTTTAGCCGTTTAGCATTTTCGGTCTGGAAGTCTCGCTATAATATTTTCATGTAGTCGATATACAACTTCTTAGTACATTTTCTTTTGTGGATAATAGATGAGTGGTAAAGAATATAATAAACGATTGAATATCGCGGCCGAACAAAATGAAATTGAATTTATATTAGATTCAAACAACTATGATGTTAATAAAACTGTTGAAGCATTTCAAAGTGGTGGAGCACCAGACGCATTCCAAGAATGGACCACAGTGATAAAAAAAAGTCAAAATCATCGACAACAACTAAAGCATCACCGAAATCTGGAATAAAATCTTCATCATTATCAACAGCGGTATTAACATCTACACCAAAAATAACGGAAGAATGTAATAAACAATTATCAGCATTCATCGATCAAACGAATGAACTCAGAATAATAACTTCGACTTCACACTCAATGTATGATCAAATACAAACACGAATCGAAGCAAATGAACTTAAGTAGTATTTCCCAGCAAACAAGTTCTGTCGCCTATTTCATCTATTCCTACAGGAATAAATACAAGTTTTCTTCGGACAAGACGAGTAATAGTGAATGCATTTATACGGAAGGAAAAGAAAGCGTATATCTAATTGCGGTGGTTTTGTAATAAAAAACTTTGTTGTTCACATAAACGATTGTGTTGGCTTATATAATAATCTAACAGTTTTTCATTTAAACAAGCAGCTATTTTTTGTTACTTCGTTCATAATTCATCAATCTTACACTACTAATATTACTTCGTCATATATTGTACGTTTGATAACAAATTCGGAACGAAATGTTTGATTGAGTTTTGACACATGATCATCTTTCTCGTAAAACAACTCTAGTGTCAATGGAAAAAGGAGTTTTCTGCTTATTCAACAGCTCTTTGCTAAGACGCTTTCTTTTCCTTCCTTATAAATGCATTCACTATTATTCGTCTAGTTCGAAGAAAAATTGTATTTATTCCTGTAGGAGTAGTTGAAATAGGCGACAGAACTTGTTTGCTGGGAATATTAAAATATTCCTATAGAGATAAATCAAATTTTATATTAGACTAGTTCAATTAAAATTTTATTTGTTTCTAAGAATATTACAAGGGAATTTCGAAGTGGCAATAGCTTCTTATTCACCTTATGCCGTTTTCGAGCTGTGTCGTATTTTCTATGGTACTTTTCGACACAAGATCGTAGAAACTTGGCCAGCATCTCATTTTGTGGAGAATTGAAGGGGCTATCCAATGATAATGGTTGAAAAACTTCTGAAAGT